TTGCGACTACATTTTATTACAAGAAAGCAGCACAAAACCATAGTTCTTCCTTACAATGAAATGTAAGAGATAAGCTAAAATTAAAAAGTATGAATGAATATACAAGTTTTTGAGATTTAACTGAATGGTGATGGATATAGTGAACATCTATAATCAACTTTGGAATATGATGACATCAAAAAATACATAAGGTGATGCTCCTTCTTGGTGAATCATGATCTCTGTATTTTCTTCTTTTCAGTCACGACTCATATGAACAGATGGGGAGTTAAAGGTCACCTGAAGGACACAGAAATACAAATAAAATAATACATTTACATTACTATTTGATGCTACATAGGATACAGTATGATCGCATATAATATCGGAAGCTGACTCTGTGTGTATCTGAGGATTTTCTGGCTCATTCACTGTCAAGTTGATTTTTAGCAGCATTTATGGATACTAGCATTCACAAGTTTTAAATACAGTATTAATTGAGGTAGTAACATTTACACTCACTAATTTATCAGTGCGATTATGTGCTTGACAGCTAGAGAGCAGTGCAGTTAACTCACCTAATTGTGTTAGATTGCTAAAGAGTTGTAGGTCACTTCATCTCCAGAGTCATTACGCTGCTGTGTTTTTGGCTGGAAAAGCAGAAAAGAAGGATGCTGGTTTGTTATGTAATTTCCAAACATGTTGTCACTCATATGAAGGACAAATCAAAGTGTGCTTGCAATTTTTGATAGGCAATTTGCCACAAAGGTGCCATACAATGAAAATATGACTTTATCTCGGCATAGTTGAATAAGGAGGGTTCAGTGCATAGAAATGACATATTGTGAATCTCAAACACTGTTGTTGTCCTTTTCAAAAATGAATCCCACGTATGCAAAAGAAGGTAGTAAAACAGGCTGATTCAAAAATCCTAGACTGTCGTGCCCTGCTCATCCGATCCTTCTGTGTGCCACGCCCCCTCATTAACCTCGTGTGAAATCCCCACGTTTACCAGCTGTTTCGTGTTATTTCCGATTAGTCCTATGTATTTCAATCCACGTTCGAGTACGTTTCCCTTGGTCTGTCATTGAAGTCTGATTGTCTAGTCTGGTGAGGTGTTGCATGTTCTCGGCTTGTTTCCATGTTCCTGCTCCAATTCCCCATTAAATCCCATACTACCCAGTCCAACGTGTTCCTCTCCTGCTTCGCTGCTCCGTGCATCCAGCCTGATCACGACAGTTACATTACAGTCTTACCTACACCCCCAAACTTAAAATACACACCCAACTTTCAAGTCCAATTGATTCTGCACAACCTGCAACATATATTTATCTCTCTGAAGGGGCATGCACGCACCATTACCACAATTGTACCTAGCGAGCCAAAAAATATATACTGACAGCTATTGATGTAAGGTTATTTATTACTAGTAGGCTAGGAATATAAGTCCTATTCAGGGGTATGTTTCCCAAAAGCCCCCATTAGGGGGTGTAACTGTAATGTATGAGTATGTGTAACTGTATGTTGTTTGTATAGTGCTATGTTACTACTAGAAACTGAATTTCCTAGAGGAAACTTCCCGAGGGATTAATAAAGTTTTCTTTCTTTCTTTCTTTCTTTCTTTCTTTCTTTCTTTCTTTCTTTCTATAACTATCTGACAAAAAGATCTACAAACACTGAAGCAGCAAACTTTGTGAAAAGCAATACTCAAATTCTCAAAACTTTTGGCCATGGCTGTAGACACCAGAGAACAATAGAAAACACTAAAAATGCACTGTATGGCACCTTTAATGTCAACAGTGCTGAATATAAATTCATCATCATGGTGTGTGTCCATCTAAGGAAAATTATACAGTCACAGTTCAGAAAATAATACTGTTACAGCCATTGTCATTGACAGCCTTCTTCAGTAATGCTAATGAGTAACACTGAACAGCAAGCAAAAAGATGTTGAGTGTAATAATATCAGATGTAATGGCAGTAAAAATTAATAAACATTTAAAAATTTAAAAACATAACTATTGTAATTTAAATGACATCCATGTATCACAGTGAGATTTTAACTTACTCTGTTGCTTTTTCTTGTTCTTCTCTCTGTAATAAAGTTAATAGAATCATTCTACACAAATTCATACCAACTTCTGTCTATTGTGGCTGATATTTCTGGTGCATAATGGCTTGGATTAAAGTCCATAATGTGGATCTGCATCATCTGTATCAGATTAAATAAAAAAATTAATACCTATAACATGGCTGATGAAAAATCAATGAACAGACTGTTCCTTGGCTGGAGATATTTTATCAGTGAAGCCTAAAAAATCCATTTATTGAAGAACTGATTTCCATTCCTGGCTGTTGTGTTAATGTGTGTGTGGAGCATAGTTTACTGCTCCAGGCTTTCAGTGACACTGTACTGGGTAAGAAGTATAGAATATGGATGGAAATACTTACTCCGCATTTGCCACAGCTTCCAGGTTCCCATCACATCAAACAGAAGAAGCAGTAGAAATCCACATGATGGTAGGAGTATTTTCAGCAGAGACACACTGTAGAAAATGGTTAAATAAATGTCAGTGGTGGGTAATTAGCTTCACAGGTTAACAGATTCTTCTGTCAATATGTGAAAACTTGTAAAACATTGTGTTTGCGTCTTTGATATTACTGTTATTCATGTGGAGTTGCCTTGTGCGAGAGGTGCTGGGCTGGTGTGGTTCTGCTCCCTTACACTTTTGGTCAGGGGATGGGCTTCATCTCTGCCTATGCGCTATGCACTTGACTGTGGTCTGTGCCTATGCACTATAACAAACCAGTTCAGAGTATCCAGCCTTTTTGGGGACTTTGTATGGCAGGGCTATTCAATTCACGGTCCTCAAGGGCCAAGCCCTGCTGATTTTCCAGCCTTCCTTCACCCGTGAGCCAGGTGTGAAGCCTCTGACCAATCAGAATCAGTAATTATTAAACTAACTACCTGGGAGAACTGAAAACAAGGCCTGGATTTGGAATCGAGGGCCTGAGTTGAATAGCCCTGTTGTATGGGATGCTGGAAGGCACTCCCCCCCCCCCCCCGCCCCCCGCCCCCCCCCCCCCCCGCCCCCCGCC